CCCCCCCAGGTGCCTGTCGGGGCCTGGGTTTCAGCTGTCCACACCACAGCAGTGGACAATGAGCTTAAAGCCCCTGATGGCTCTGGGCGCTGACTCTCACCAGTGGCTATGGATGAAGTCACAGGCGATTTTCAGCCAGCGCCGGTGCAAAGTTCTACTCTTAAACACATGAGACTTCCCTGAGTCTAGATTCAACATAGCACAGCCTTGAAATATATCAGTGACTAAACTTTGCCAAGAATCTATCAGAGTGTGGATTGTGCTTCTGTTGTTAGCTCTGCCTAGTGAGAAGGCACACAGTTCAAAGGCACCAGCTGCTCTGCAGGAGAAAGATGGTCAGTCAATCTCTTCCCAGCAATTACTGCTTCTGAAAACCCACTGGAGGGTCAGCTATGGTTGATTCCAACTCAACAGCACATAACAACAACATCTACCAACCCCATAAAGTTGGAAAGATACTTTTAAATATCCAGTGCTGGTAAGAATATGTAAAAATGACCATTCTCTTTTACTTTTGGTGAAAATAAAAATAAGCACAATCTTTGTAGATAGAAATTTGACAATGAATATCAAAAGCCTTAAAATTTTTCATATCGCTTGATTCAGATATTCCATTTCTTGTCATTTGTTCTAAGCAAACCCCAAAGTGTAGCCCACAGAACATTTACCACACATTAAAATTGGAAGTAATTTAAATATTAAGCAACAGAGGCCTGGTATATTATATAGTAAATTCAATAAGGCTATTATGAATAGTTTAAACTATAGACTAGTAACACAGAGATATATTTCTAACATAATAAATTTAAAGAAATTATGATAGGATATCCGTATATTAAATGTTATAGATCAATTTAGAAGAAACATTAAGAAACCATTTCTGAATAGTAAGGCTGATAATTATTTTCTTCTTTCTTTTTACTATTGTTTTTCACAATGAACATGCATCACATTTGTAAAAAGAAAAGACTTAGGCACACATGTGTATGTGTGTTTATACTTTCAGAGGAGTATGACTGTAAGGTAAATTAGAACCTTTATTTAAAATGATCAGTTGCATCCATCATTTATTGTTTAGAAGCCTCTGTATGCTAAAAATTCCTTGAAGAATCTTTTCCATTTCTCAAGTGAAGAAGTAGCAAAGGGCTTATGACAACACCAAAAATCTGTTTCCAGACAAATCAGTTTCTAATTTGTTCTTTAAAAAACCAATCCACCTTCTCTTCCTTTCCCATCCCTACCCCTAGAAAAATAAAGGGAGTCAACACTACTGCTTAGTGGTTATATTTTCTTAACAGAATTATTTTCTATGGCTTTCCAAGAATTCAACAGCTTAGAAGGCCAAGAAACATCCTTAGGACTGATCTAAGAGGAGATTTTCAAAATCAGCAGTGGTCTTATCAAGTTAAGATAGCATTTTCCTTCGGAGACTTAACGGTTCCTTCCGAGTGGCTCATGTCTCTGAGGTAAACATGTATGAAAGCATCGTGGTGGAGAGTGTTTGCCGATGAGAATACCCCTGCCCAGGTACACACACAGTATGTGTTTTGCTGCAAATGTTTTCCCAGTAAACAAGAATGGAGCCATCAAAAGGAAGAGCATGCTAATTTTAAATCAATTAAATTCAAACAGAAATGCTTCCTTTGGGTATAATTGCCTTTGAGTAAGAACACTAATTTTAGAGACTTGTATTATTTGCCCACAAACTGTCTCTGAAATATCTGAGCATTGAGAAATTGAAATCCAACTGGTTTCCCCTGTAGCTCCTTCCCAGTCTATGAATTATTGAGGGCAGAATTTAATGGCACCATTGTTGTGCGTCATTTTGTTCTAGTCAGTACAAACGTATGCTAGGTCCTGTTTCATAATCAAATATTTCTATGTGATGTCCAGTGACAAGAAGGAGAATGTCCAGAAAACAAGGAATCACACAGTTCTGTGGACCTCAAATCTGGTCCATGCATGAGAACCACAGAAGGAAATGCTGACTTGGATGGATGTCCATTTAGGCAAGAGACTCTGGGTTAGGGCTCAACCAAGGGACATCAAACCTCATCAGAAATGTACCTCTGGAGGCCCTGGTGGCGTAGTGGCAAGAAGCTGCATTGTAATCCTGCAGGCACACAGTTCAAGGCTACCAGTTCCTCTACAGGAGAGAAGGATGGACAATCTCCTATGTGATTAACTGCTTCTGAAAACCCACTGGAGGGTAGGCTATGGGGCAGTTCTGACTTGACAGTGCACAACAACAACAACCCATAGAGCAACTGGTAAATTAAAAATGTGCTTCTGACCTAGCAGGACCTCGAAACTGAGCAAACATGGGCAATGAAAACTAGTAGAGCCTAAGTTCCTGCCAGCTCAACTCAGTGGTAGTGCCATAGCTTCTTACCTACGGAGGAGGAATTCTAAAACTTCATTTGTAATAGTTGGATAACTGCCTAGAAAACAGAAATCTCCCAGAAATGACAACTATAACCAAAGCATTTTCAAGAAGCACATCCACGTGGCATAAACCAGTAACCATCAATGCAATTCAGACCCATGAGGACCCCATGTGTAACAGAGTGGAACTGTTCTCCACAATGTTCTCAAGAATTGAAAGTAGATTGCCAAGCCTTTCCTCTGCGGATCCTCAGGGTGACCTGAACCTCCAGCTTCTAGGTTAGCAGCTAAAGGTATTAACTGTCTCAACCAGAGACTCGGGGAGCTCAAAAAGCAGCTGCTCAACTTTCAATGCATGAGTGACTTAAGATTCAATCTCTTTGGTTTAGATTTGCTCTCTTCATTTCAGTTGTTGTCTGGGATGAGGTATTAGATTGAAAGCAATTTGGAGATTGTCAACCGTCACAGATTCTGAAGCCAAAGGAGATTGATGAAAAGCCGAGATTTGGTGCTAGTAATTCCAACATAGCCTTTCTCGGAGCAATACAAATGATAAGGCTGTTACTTGGGAAAACAAGGGGCTGGGAAAGTGATTTCACTGTCTCTGGTGAGAAAAGGTAGGCATAAACATCAAGTACAGTTTGTGACATCGAGGAATGACTGATGACAGGATGCTACAGAGCATTGTTGTTTTCTCAGAAAGATTTCTAACTTTTATAGACGCCATATTTTTCACAGTCCAAAGAAGTCATGACAACTCAGCAGTAGTCCTTAACACTGGTGCAGCATGTTAAATCTTTACGAAACACCTTGACACGTATTAACACAACAGGTCCTCACACCCACATGGTCCTCACACCCACATGGTCCTCACACCACATGCTAGGTAGGAGGAGAAAGGATTGCTAATTTTTCATGAAGAAACAGCTGCCGAGAAGTGAGGGACTTGCCTCAGTTTACTCCACAAGAAGGGTTGTTTCTGAATTGCCACTATGCCCGCTCAAAGAACAAAAGCAGGAGGCCGACATTATTTATTTCTAAGTAATCTATCATGAGTATGTTGCATCTGTTTTTGTTCCTATGAAACTGGGTTCTTACTACTAATAATAATGTAAACAAACTAAACCCTATGAGTAAAACTGCCCTGATAGGATTTCCAGGGCTAAAACTCTTTACAGAAGCAGACAGCTACATCTTCTCCCACAGAGCAACCTCGTGGGGTCTAAGAGCTTAGGATGTCATTGAGTACTTTACCCACTGCGCCACCAGGATGCCATCAGCATTATAACAAATTCTTATCTACAAATAAAGGTTATATGAATTACTTCTAGCTATGTTTTTTAAAGCCTATCAGAATAAATTGGAGCTCTGATGACCTAGTTCACAGGGAGCTGTGCTGTGACATCAAAGGTCATGTTTTTCTAGCGATTTGAATCCACCAGCTGCCCCGTGGAGAGAAAAATGAGAAGAATAAGTTAGAACCTACAAATACAGTT